AATGAAAAGCTACTATGGTATTAAAGACTAATATGTAAACATTATACATATGTAAACATTAATATATAAACATTACATAAATTTCAGAGTCATTGATCATTTTATTTTGAAAATATATTATTTTCGGCGTAAAGTTCATAAATTAAAGTAATACTCGAAATACATATGCACATTCACATATGAAATATTTGTATTTACCATCTATTTTTACCATCTGTCTTTCAGATCAATTAATGCATAAAAATAGCATTAATAAGAAAAATAAAAAACAACATTTTCGTATTTGTAATATTATGTATATATGTCTATCTTAACTTCTTTCCAAATTAAAATTTATTATGTGGAATGAAATAAATATATAAGAACGTAATTTTCTTTGATAAATGTTAAATTTATGATTGACCTCCTTGGTGCGCCATTAAAAATGTGGTACTAATAAGCAATATATCTTTGATTGTGATTTTAAAAATTCTTACCCATGATCCGCAATATTTCCTTAGGCGTGCTGTACTGACAATATATTTTTTCCAAGGGACAATGCAATCTCTTCCTCCCATTGCCATATGCGGCTGTTAGAAAAGCTTCTAGTACATATTGGATGTAGGTCATGTGCATAAGTAATGTTCGATAAAGCGGTAAAGGATAGGGTTGACCAATGCTTTGCATCAAGAATAGTACCATAAAACAGGTTATTGTAGACCCGATAAACATGCTAATCTGAAATAGGATATAAGTTGTAAACAAGCGTATTCCATATGCTCTCGCGACACGTAATTCACATCTATTGTGAGATTGCATATATGTCTAGCTCCGGACGCACCACGGCATGTGAAAATATGCTGGCGATACCATACGACATACTTTCCGCGATGAAGCTACATAGGAAACAAGTGCCAAAGAACATGATGAATCTCTGCCATTCCAAGGGTTGTTCGGTGATCNAAGAATAGTACCATAAAACAGGTTATTACAGACCCGATAAACATGCTAATCTGAAATAGGATATAAGTTGTAAACAAGCGTATTCCATATGCTCTCGCGACACGTAATTCACATCTATTGTGAGATTGCATATATGTCTAGCTCCGGACGCACCACGGCATGTGAAAATATGCTGGCGATACCATACGACATACTTTCCGCGATGAAGCTACATAGGAAACAAGTGCCAAAGAACATGATGAATCTCTGCCATTCCAAGGGTTGTTCGGTGATCA